CTTAAACCAAGTTTGACCATCCAACTTAACCGGCTGACGTGGACACAGAGACTTCACAGCTACACTCAACACCTCCCTGGAAGGTCTGTGTGGCAGACAGCACAGCTTGCCCAGATGCTTCTCCCAGTCTAGTGTTTCATTTGGCCCAGTGTGCTGGTTTTGGCTGGGATAGAGTTAATTTTCTTCACAGTAGCTAGTATGGGGCTATGTTTTGGATTTGTGCTGAAAATAGTGTTGATAATACAGGGATGTTTTCATTGTTGCTGAGCAGTGCTGACACAGAGTCGAGGTCTTTTCTGCCTCTCACCTCACCCCACCAGCGAGCAGGCTGGGGGTGCACAAGAAGTTGGGAGGGGACACAGCTGGGACAGCTGACCCCAACTGACCAAAGGGAAATCCCACACCATGTGACGCCATGCTCAGCATATAAAGCTGGGGGAAGAAGAAGGAAGGGGGGGATGTTCAGCGTTATGGTGTTTGTCTTCCCAAGTAACCGTTACGGGTGATGGATCCCTGCTTTCCTGGAGATGGCTGAACACCTGCCTGCCGGTGGGAAGCAGTGAATAAATTCCTTGTTTTGCTTTGCTTGCATGCATGGCTTTTGCTTTACCTATTAAACTGTCTTTATCTCAACCCACGAGTTGTCTCACTTTTACCCTTCTGATTCTCTCCCCCATCCTACGGGGGGGGGAGAGAGCGAGCGGCTGTGTGGGGCTTAGTTGCTGGCTGGGGGTAAACCATGACACCCAGAAATCCTGGGAGCTGGATCGCACAGATAGCTCTGCTCATGAACACTGAGGGAACTGGTAAATTGCATGGATCAATACCGGGGCTATTATGCTCAATCTTCAGTGTTCCACAAAACTGTGGAAGCAGCCCCTGCTAGAGAGGGAAAAGTGACTTTTTCTGCTGAAATATAGTTTCTGTACTTTACTACATTCCAAACCAGAATGTGTCAGTCCCATGAGACAGCTGGTAAGTGAATAGCATCCACTTTATAGCACATCAGCTTTACTTAAGCAAAGCTCACTCTCTCAGGAAAGATGATACAATTTTTTTGTTCAGCAGAAAAAGCAGCCACCATGAAGCAGTGAATTACATGAAAGCAGCAAGTAATTCACTGGAAGACATTTAGAACCATAGTTCAAATTTACATCTATGCCAGACAGTCATAAAAAAAAGCCTCTGCTAGCAAAGAGAAGGAAAAAATACAGAATTTGTCATTGCATGATCTCATGCCACTTTGTGGACTTTGGGTAATACCAGATTAATCACAGTGGAACATAACAGCAAAGCTGATTTTAGATTGTTAAAGAGAAAGGCATTATATTGGAGATAAAAGACAGCCTCTTCAAACAGTTGCCTGAAACTTAAACTGACCCCCTGACTGGTATCATTTTGATGTTGATGAAGATTACTGCTTATGCTTTTCTCTACTGCTATTTCTTCCATTTCTATGTCCATGTACTGGTTTGGAATAATAACCAGCTGGATTAAAAGGTCATCACTGAAGATCTTGTTGCATATTTCTGGCTTCTCAAGCAGGAAACATCATAAACCTCAGAAGAGAGACTGCTCTAAACACAGTTCCCCCCCCAATTTCAACACACAAGAATTTCAGATAAATGAAGATCCAAGTAATTCTCTGGCATCCCAACAGACATTGAAGTTTTCACATTGTTTAATGACAAATAAAATATGTTTTGGCTCAGGGTATGGAAAGCACTGAAATATCATCTGAATATCCCTCCAGAGCAAATGAACAGAAGCAGCTTCTAACACTTGGAGACCTTGCTGATCAGTGAACCCTTTATTAGTTTCCCTAAAAGTAGCAGAGTGTTTTCTGTCTCTTGATTTCTTAGGGAAAAGGGTCCCACGCTGCCTTTCAGATATGACAGAGGTGTACTCTAGCTTTACTTGTAAGGCTGAGAAGTCACCATCGCTGAACCACACAAATCTTGCATGAGAATTCACTTTTGTAAATGAAATAGCATTTATACAGCTGTTTGATGACTACAGATGAGCTCCAAATCAACAATCACTAAAGGACTTTGGACAATGAGGACATAAACTATATAATTCTTATTGGATGCATCTCTACCTCATGGAGTGACAGATAAACCTTTTATGTTCTGAATTCAAGTTGAGAGAAAAGAATCAAGAACTTTGCCTAGCTGAGCCTTCATCTCCATCAGCTAAGTTTGCACGGTGTTTTGGAGATCCTGTCCATTGCTGTAGCAGCTCAAAAAGAACTATGAACACCTCCAGGTGATACTGGTTTTTGAAAATAATCCAAGGGTTGGCTGCACTTCAAGTGAGGAGAGCATATATCTTATCTTCACTGTTTCTTTGATCATGATAAACTTTGGAAATGCTACCAAAGGGGAAAAAAACCAAACCAAGCAGAGTTCATAACTATAAGCTGTGGGTATAAGGCATATTATCAGCTCCTGACCTGATAACAGGCTGTCACATGATACTGCTGATTATTGGGTTTTTTTTGCCTTCTTGATTCACCCAAAGGTGTTTCCTTTGCCAGTCATCTGAGAGAAAGAAACTAATCTTTCGGTTTTCATTAAGTTTCTACAGCAAAAGAGCCACAGTACTGACCTGTCTCAAGTTTAGACATTTCACTTTGTCCTTGACCAAGGAAAGTTCCCAGACACACACAACTGAGCTTGTTCCAGATGTGATTATGGTAGTTGCCGAAGGACACACAGCGCAGAGGCACTTTCCCCAGTCTGCCATGCACTCGAATGTAGTCACGTTCTGTACAAGAAAGCAGCTTTAAGTCAAATGCGCATCTGGTGGTACCATGCATTTATTAATCAAATGGCAGACTCAATTTTCAGAATTGAGCCTCCATTTCTTCAAATCCAGGAAAGAAAAGCTCATCTTAACCAGTCTCTATGCTCACAGCACAGCTGCATAATACGTACACACACAGACTGTGGCTGCATGAAGCTGTGCCATCCTCCAGGGGCCAAACAGGAAGGCTGGACAAGGGTCAGTGTCTTATGTCTTAGGAGACCTGAGTCCCAATCCCTCTTGTGCCACAGACTTCCTACATAACTTCAGGCAAGCTCATTCTGCCACCATATAGTGACACAATGCAAACATTGAATGTAGATTAAAAAGAAAGCTCAGGCTGTGACGGCCACTGCTAACAGAGTTAGTGCCAGGCTCTGCAACCCTCCTCTTACTTGGACTGAAAAGCCAAAAGCCAAAGCACTAAATTCCATTCTGTGCCAATGGCTCTGTTAGCAGCACCCAAACCAGCCTAAACCAAGGTCAGGTCTATTACACATTGCTACAATTACAGCACAAACATCTTTCTGCTCACATTCTGCATTAGCTCTCTCCCACACAATGGGGACAATGCTATGGTGCTAGCAATTCTGGTGGAGCTGGATGGCACATCTACATAAACCATACCACAGACAGAACAAACCTTTACCCACTTACAATGAGGACAAAAATTTCTTTTAAGCTCCTGTCCAGAGGCACTGTTGACCCAGAGAGAACTCAAGTTGGACTCCCAGCTACTTCTCCCAGTGACTGTGTAATCACACTTGCTATGCTCAGTGTCACTAGGCTCAGTGACACCCTGACTTTTGAAGAGACAAAACAAATAATTTATACCTACAGCAGCACTATGAATTGCTAAGCACTGATTTTAATTGAAATCAATGGAGAAAACTCTCAATAATTTTATACAGGGAGCAGAAAGTAAAATACATCTCATGGCTTTTTCACTTCCATTGACTGTGAGTATGTCTGTAAAAACATAATGATGTGGCTTGCACAAATACCCAAGTCAGTATCTTGCTGAATGATGTATTCTGCTATTCTGGTACCCAAGCTAACTCAGATGTCTGTGTGTGTCATAACATTGTCCCAAACACATCCAAAAACCAGTGTGTTTGTGGTAGGGTAAGACACTGGATTTGTCAAGTGCCCTAACAAGCAGTGTGATGACACAGACCATTGATTTTTAACAGCAAAGAAGTAAGAGTATTAACTTTCTAGAATGGAAGACATTATTATTTTGAATGAATGCACTGGGCTAAGCTTGGGAGCCAGAGGGGAATTGACAGATGGTCCTATCTTAACTCCAGCAGAAAGTTCTGCACAATGAAATTTCCATTCAGTGGCCAGGAGACCTTGTATTGTCCTTACAACCTATGAATTGGGGTTTCTTCTTCATTTTGACAGACAACACAGTCACTGGAAGGAAAACTTGAGATAATTTAGAGGGGAAATGCCACATTTTTCAGCAGTGTAGAATGACTTTGTACTCTTGGGATATCCAACTTGAGATTCCTCAAGAAGCTTGACTGTGAGAAAGTACTGTACAGCATCCTCTGAAATCAGCTCCCCAACAGCCTCTGAAATGGGTGCCCAAACCAGCCAAAAACCACACATATAATTAATTTCTGGAATGCTTAGACATTTTCTTATTTACCTTCTCAGACCCATAGCTGCCAAAGCAGCAGGTGAAGTCTTCAAATCCCCAGCAGAATGTTTTGCTCCAAAGAGGAGGAATCAAAACTTTATTTTTTTCGACAGCCAGAATGCCTTTCTCAGTATGAACAATGTGCCCAATAGCTCCTTTGGGATAGTCTGACAAGACAGAGAACATATTTAATTCTGTTTGTTTTAGAGCACTTATGTTAACTTTCCTCCTTGCACAGCTTGTGTGGTGAGGCTGGCAAGTCCCACAACTAGGCTCAGTGCCGTGGCCAGGCCCACAGACAGAATTCCACTCCAGACAGAACAGTGGAAACACTCCTCTCCAATGAACCACATAAATCCATGCAGAGGGAGTGACATGCTCCAAACGAGGGGGTTTAACAGCAGTGTCATTAAGCTCCTTTTCACTGGCAGACTGCCTGATGCCATGCACTACAGAGGATGCCGGGCATGTCACCAACAGCCTCTGTAGTACAGCTACGGGAACCCACTGTCCCCACCAAGATGTGTGATGTAAAGAACACTACCGTGGGATGAAAAAGTAGACACACTGAAATTTTCCAGGATTCTTCGTGATAAGAAAAGTAACAGACTAAGAAAAAGGTGAAGAAAAAGAAAAGATTTGAAGATCAAGAAGTGGAGAAAGACAGTATTTACTTTGCTGTTGAATATAAAAAGAAAGAATGAGAATGGAAAACAGTGAGCTTTATGTTTCAATTTAACATATTCAGAATGTAGAAGAGAGAAAAGGTTTAGGTGTCTTATAAAAAATATCTGTTCTGAACTCTAACACAGAAGTTTCAAGATTTCTCCTGAGTATTTGAGTGTTTTCAGTGCCCACTCACAATACACACATACACAAACAACAATTGGCAGAAGGGATCTTGATTGTACAAACTCATACAAAGCTGTGTGACTATTTTTGGGCTCTTGAAAATCCAGATTCACCCCATCCAAGAGTTCTGCACCTATTAGCTCAGAAAATGGAGCACAGCCCCTGCGGCACCTTTTATTGTAACTGGTGAGAGCTTCAGATTTTGCAGGCTGCTCAAAAAGGGAGGAAGAATTCCACCTGAGTGAAGGGACAGCACAGTCTCTCTTCCTGATGAACTTTTCCCTTGGGCATTCCATCCTGGATGGTGTGGTTTTGTGAAGAGCTAGAACAAATGAATGGCATCGAAAAATTAATCTCTATTTGCCAGATCATGCAGGAGAGACATCTGTTTAAATCCTTAATCATAGACTCCAGGACTGTCGTACATGAACCTTTTCATTAAAATAAAATCTTACCCTGATTACATTTTTGTCAGACTACATCCCTTCCTCACAGAGATAGGAAACTAATCTTATGATTCAGAAGAGAGGAAAAGCATAGGTGAGACTTTGAGCTGCTTTTATTTGACTGTACCCATTCCCAGACTAGTGGTTACTCATGTGACTGTACTGAAGGAGCAGAACACAGATTTGATGCTGCAGCTCTATGGCATACAACGGGAACAGAATGATTAGAAAGTGGAATCACACACATGTATGTGGGTGCATACTGATGTAGTACACAGTATGGAGAAGTCTATAGCCCATCTTTCAGCAGATTTAAATCAGAAAATGTCTCTGATTTAAATTTCTATTCTTGCTTTCCAGTTGAAATACTACAAGTTCAAAATAAATTATGCTCTCTACTCTCATGATAAAATGGTACCTGCTTTGGTATCTGTCCAAAGTTGCTGATGAAACCCAGGATGGTGCTCTTAATCAGAGGATCTTTAATGTTGTTGAGGTCCATCTTGTCTCCATAGAAGTAAGGGTGATAGGTGTTAACTGCCTCCACCGCAGCTGAGCCATGTTGCTTGTGGCCAAAAATCAGATCTATCCAGCGATGGAGGTGTGCACTGACATAGTCACTTTCCAGTGCCTGAAACCAAAAGAAAAATATTTAATTCAGTAGAGTCTGTCCGTTACAAATGCATTACCACTTTCCAATCCCTGCTGGAAGCTTAAATTCTCTGCAAATGAATCTTCACACCTTCAGTTCCTCCAGTACCATCATTCTCAGCACATCCTCACAAAACCCTTCATCTCACCAAAGAGATGAAGGGTGGATCCCCACAGGAAAAGGAAGGATGGAGTGCAGCATGCTTGACTTAGCAGACACCAGGAGCAGTATCCTCAGAGACAACACAGGCAGGTTCCACTAAGCAAAGTGCAAGCACTCCACAGATCTTGGCACATCCTCCAGCTTCCAGCATACATTAAAGCCTGTGCTATCATGTCTTCACCAATACTGTTACTGACACAAGATGGTTTAAATGAGCAAAACATTTGTTAGCATTTGGTACTACCACTTTGCTCTATAGATAAACCACAGGTGAATTAAGGTACTAGTCTATTTGTAGAAATATGCCCTAGTTATGAATCACACTGAGTAGCAAAGACTTTATTTGAGAAGATACATATAAACATAGATTGGAATGGGAGATGACTAGCAGAGGGTCTTTAAGTTGGGTTTGAAGGATACAGCAGGAGAGGCTGCATACCATGAACCAGCAAAGAGAATGTAGAGCTTGTACTGAAATAGCAAGGGGTGTTGCAAGCCAAGACAGGGAAGGGGTTTTGCAATAGCAGAGTTGGGGTGCAGCAGGGCAGCTGTATGACAGAAGCTTCAAGACTGCTTGGGTTTGATCAAGAAACATTTTGCTACCCCCTCAGGGCTTAAGTAGAGAGAGTTGCAGCACCAGATTTCCTCATCCTGGAAAAACTCGGGGTCTGAACTCTTTTCCCCAAAATAAGAAATGGTTAACTTTGATTAGATTTGCCACCCATAGTGACAGGTGTGTGGACTAATGGAAGCAGAAGAAACAATTACTACTGGAGAAGACTGGGAGAGATGTTACAAGACAGTACATCCACCCCAGTGTGGGCTCCCTAGAAAGCTCAGTGCAATCATAGCGGAAAGCTTGTGCTTGGAAGACCCAGACAGCAAGTTCATAAGCAGTGGACACAAGTTTGAGCTGAACTTTTGCCCACCTCCAGGTTAGCCAGCCTTACCCATTAGGCTTCACTAAATGCTACTGCCCCTGCCATCACCTGCCTCACCAAATTTTTGTGCATTCCCGAACAGCCTTGCCCAATTATTCAAGCAGCAGTGTTAAGCATTATTAAAAATACTTTCCTATCTCCAAATCATTTGACTGTGCAATACTCCCTGATGCTCAGTTAAAGGTCTCCCAAGCAGACCATCCCACCCAAAGCACAGCAGAAATAAACAAGCTAATGGGATCCAGAACAATGGCTCATTTCACAGAGCAGACAGTTAGCCCAGTGCAGCTGGTTTAAATGACCCTGCCCATAGCTATAATGATCACAGGGCAGCTCAGAGAACAAGCGTGGCATACAATCTGTCCCCTGCAAACAAGAGGAAAACACTTATGAACAGACTCAGAACTCATCCTCATTAATAAAAACAGTTAGTCCATGTATTACAAACTGTAAATTTTGCCTGGCATCACTGCAGAGCAAAACAAAGCAACCAAGAGAGCTGCAACTGTGCAGCCTCTCAGTATTTCACTGAGCACTATGACAAGCCCAGCCAGGGAGGGAGAACTTGCGCTCTCAGGAGGAAGTAAATAAATTTCATTAGTAGACTAGATTCCTAACTTATTAAACATGAAACAGGGAGCTACTCACAGTTTTCTGAAGAAATTCTTCAGAATCAAGAAATTCTTTGCTCTCTTATTCTTTAAAGCAATAGCCAAACCTCAGAACAGTGTTGACCTGGATCTGTTTAATGCACCAAACTCGCTGTGAAGCCTCCTAAAAATGACCATGATACCAGTAACAAGTACATCCAGTCTTGTGGATGATTTCAGAGGAGACAGAAACCCTCATGTTTCAGAATTCAAGATCTCTAACTCTTCACTTCAGGGTTAGACGAACTTTCCCAGGCAGGCTAATCAACTTTCTTTCCACAGCAAAATTTCTTGCACCCTCCTGTGTAACATCTAGTATTAGCTATGGTTGGAGAGAGAATATTGGACTGAATAAACGTGTGGTCTGATCAGGTCTAGCAAATCATTAAGAACACAAATTTATAAGCATGATCTTTCATTTGCTAAACTGCTCCTATTTGAGATTTGAATTAATTTGTAAAAGTTGTGTGGCTTTATCAGCTGTGCCAATGTTATCAAATAGTGCAGCTCAGTGGAAGCAGATCTGTAGAACAGAACAGATGGTAGAGAGGGCCCAGTATCCACATTACGTGCGCCGTGGGGGCTTTACTTCAAACTAGATCTAGTCTGCTCCCACAGGCTGAATGCCACCAGCATCTGGAGTGCACAACTGGAGTGCAGCTTTTGGTTTCATTTCATCCAAAACAAATCTAGTTCACACAATCTTGAGATCACTCTACAATAAGAACAAAACCATGCTATGCTGGGATGATTGATAGATTCATTTCCAAACTGCACCCTCACTCCAAAGTACAAGGTGAAAGCAGATGTTCCCCATTGTATCTAAGTGTCTTTGGAGTGCCCACAATCACACAAGCAGTAAAGAGCACAGCTCAGTACTTTACACTCCAAAAAAGCCACAATATAAGAGACAGCATTTCTCCCTATGTTTTTCTTTAAAAAACATCAGTGTAAAATTGCAGCAGCTTTCAGGCATCCATGGATTTCTGTCTGCAGCACCTCTGTTAGGGAAGAACAGTGTTGTCTTTCCCATGTTTGGGAAACTGTAGAACAGAGACTAAGCACCTTGGAAGGTCACACTGAGAGCATGAGACAGAGCAGAGAAAGGAACCAGAGCACCCCAAAACCTATATGCCTTCATTGGAGTCACTGGGGAACACCAGGGAACTGTTGCATGTTTGACTTCAGTGGCCAAAACCTATTTGCAGAGGGTAGCACTGAGTCGCTTCCCTGCAAGGGAAGGGACTGGGCACTCCCTAGGCTCAACTCTTCATTTTAGCAAGGACTGTACTTTGAGCAGCAGTAGTGCGCACAACACTTATGCAAGGATCTCCTTCCCCATAGTAGATGTATCATCATGTGGTTATGGGCACTGACAGAAACTCAGGTCTTTCTTCCTCTTCCACTACCTTTCAGTGTAACCAGAGCTCTGAGCCTCTAAATCACTCTCTAGGCACCTTCAGAGATGCCTGACTCTGCAATACCTATTATTGTGTATGTACAGGAGCTTAAGGAGTCTGAACATGGCTCTTAATCTCTCTGCATCTCAATTCTTTGGCAAAAACATGCTCTCCTTATCCCCTCAAGCAAATAGGTTGCAAACAGGCATGGGATAGAGTCTGAGGCATGGAAGCCAGGTTCTGGGGGAAATTCAGACACTGAATAGTGTTTTCTTTCCAAATCAGAACAAAAAGCCCAACTCTCAAATTTTCCCATGTATTAAAATCCTCCCCGCTCAATTCTAAATTTGAAAAAATTACATCCTTGTACTTTACTAATAATGAGCTATATACCATACAATATTATTTATAACAGCTACAGCATAAAATAAAATATTTTCAGTTCAGCCTGTAATCTAATATAAACATTGCAATGAAAAGATCATTTTGAAATGTTTTGGTAACAAAGACAGAAAGTTGAAATGATTTATTGAGACATTTTCTTGTTACTGCTGACACAGTTGCATTTCAACCTCACTAGTTTTCTGGTGAAAAACTCTTCCATATTTTTTTTTCCCCAGACAGGCCTACTCACTGTGTGCTTGTCAGCCCAGTAATACTGGGCTGTGATCTAAGTTACACATGTAACTGCTACAGAAAGACAAGGTAAAACAAAGAACAGGAAGATTAATGTAGCTTCTGTAAAGGGACTGATTAGTTACTGAATATGCTGTAAATTCAATGTACTGGCTTAGGTTACTAAACTGTGTGGCAGCACACCACTGAGTCAAGCTACTAGGCATGGAGACACTTGAGACCTGCTAATAATAGTAAGCAGCTATTTTCCACACCACATAACTTGGAATATCATTAATACACAAGCTTTTATGTATTGAGGAAGGATTCTGGGGCAAAAAGTGGTAGGTGACTACTTTCAATCACATTTTCAAAATGATTGAAAACAACATTTTTAATAAGTATATACAAAAGTTATCCATTTCAAAATAGGTAAAGTAGCAAGATAGATATTTAACTTCTTTTAAGTGATTTTTTAGCATTAATGTTCCGACACAGATTTAAAGTGAAATGTTCAGGTCATGAATTCACAATAGACACTAAAGGGAGCCCCTTAATCAATTAAACCAAAAAATGAAATATCTCACTATATGCACAACAGTCCTAAAAAAGAAACAAAGGCAGGTCTACTGCACAAAAAAGTAGTCAAGCACAGGCTCAAATCATATCCACGTTCACTCACAGGAGTAGCCTGAGCATGTGTGAATGAATCCAGAGTTGAACAGGCTCACTCTCATACTCAGACTTATTCACAAGCCAAAGTGAAGCATCAGGAACCTATAGAGACAGCATGGGATGCAGGTGCTACAAAGCACTGACTTGTCTTCGGAACATAATGTTTTAACAACAATTAATTCTTTGCAAGATATGCAGATGATGCACACTCCCAGGAGCCTGTTCTCTTAAAATTGGTTCAATAGAAGAACATTTTCTTCAGGATGGATTCACAGCCCATAGACCAGCTTATAAAGGATTTTTTTTTTTTTTTAAACATGGATAAAAATGGCATTGCTAAACATGGGACTAAGGCTAGATTACTGACAGCACCCAGGTGTCTGCAGGGAGAAAGAGATGTAAGAGGCCAGAACAAACAAATCAAACAGATGTGTAGGGTCTCAAGAGGGAAAGGAGAGACACTTAAGGTATGAGGAGCAGAGCCATACAGAAATTCAAAGTATAAGGGCATAGGGAAGGAGATTTGTACATAATGCCAGACAGTGAAGATGGTCCCCTTCCAGTTGTCTCTGTACTGACTTGAAACAAGGTATCAGGACATCAGAAAGAATGAGATGAAGATTCAAAAGAATGCCCAAGAAAAGCATGGAAATGATTTAGGAGTATGGACAATCACAAAAAGTATGGACTCTGAATGCAGCACAGAAGTGCAAAGCAAGGGATGTGAAAGTAATGGTACTTAACAGGAACATGGTGGCTGCTGTCAATGGTTGAGGGAACAGAGGAGAAAAGAATATTTACAAGACAAAAGTATGACTGGTTTTGTTCAAAACAGGAACAAAAAGTTAAGGCAGTCAGTAAGGAGGTCAGAGACAGGATTTAGGAACCAGCATTTGGAGAAGTCAATTGAGGAGAGGCTTATTTGGAGATATCAAAATAGAGAAGATGGTTGTAGCCACAGGTTTGGATGCGATCACCTACAAAGAGATTATAGAAAGTGAAAGCTGAACCCCCAAGGGCAGGGCCTGCATAGCATAGGAGAGGTGAGAAGAACCCACTGAGGCAGAAAATGAAGATACACATGACAAACCAGGATGATGCAATGCCTTGAAAATCATGGGCTATTTGTTTAGTCCCACCAATGCTAACACATGTAATCATCACACTTCTTGTACACAGCAACAGTCTGCACGCACTCACAAATACAGATTGACTCCTTTTGCCAGAGGAAAGATGATGAGATAATGCAGGGGCACTATAGTACAAGCCCATTCCCTTTTTAGCTCTAACGAAAACAGAGACCTGCACCAAGATATTCAGCGGCAAAGTCTGCGTTCAATGCAACAACCTTCACACAGAATTGTCTTCGCGCTCACTACTACGTAGCAGGTGACATCATACAGAAGTAAGACTTTCTAACTATTAATAGATAGCACTAATTGCAGTAAGTCTCAGGACCTTAAAGCTATTTGCTTTCAAATTGCCAAGGCTGACTCCATTACAGGCAGGAAATCACATTAGGTTTTTCCCCCCCAAAATAAAAAAAAAAAATTGTAGTCCTGGCATGACTCAGAGATGGAGGTAGATAGTGTAAATAAACACACGGCTGGTTAGCAACAACATGGAACTGTATGCATATAAATGCCATGTGCATGCATTATGTTATGTTCACATACGCTTAGGGCTTGAGTGTATGTGCCCATGTATGAGTCTGTGTCCATGCCACAGGGTTAGATACAAACCTCACCCGGTTTGCTTTGATCAGGGTGAATTGTTAGGCAGAGAAGTAGACATGCAAAGTTCAGAACCCAGCACGAACTCTGCAAAGGCAGGATGCATTTGGATCTAACATTTTGGTTTGTGACTCTGGCCTTTAGAGTTTCATTTTCAGTGGGACCCAGTTCAGCATTTTGTCACAAATCTTGATAGTCACTGACCTGTCTGTGCAGGAGAATGAATTTATGGGGATCCCCATCTGCCCAAGGAGGAAGCTGCACATCTCCCAGGACTGTTCCATCCTGCATGCAGCCTGCAGGAATTACAAAGGGAGAATTAAAAACAAGAATCACACACCTTGCAAATAGGAACAGCTTTTCTAAAACACTGAAGTCAAAGGAAATTGAGGTGATTTTCATACCTGCTGTTTCAGGTTCTATATCAAATATAGTGCCATAGAACTCTGCAGAACCAATTTCTGATCTAGTACTGAGAAGATGTTCTAGTAACTGTCGCTAATATGGTAAAAATATGCATGTCCTCAGCACAAACCATTTTAGCACAGACTGCAAACTCAGACGAGACAAACCTGTTGGCACACCTTTCTTTTTATACGTAATCCCATGGGCCTAACTGCCAGATATTCCTACTAAAGCAGCCACTGGGAGGGATTTTGTTTTCAAGACCTTTGCAATCTGATTCCTTTCAGAAGGTGAGCATATGTTCTTAAATCAGAGCACAGTGTTACGCAACTGGATGAATTCAAACCTAAGTTAAGGCTCAGGTCTGGGACTGCAGGTTTCCTTACAGTGTAGCAGTGAACAGATTCAGGTTCTTGGCTTTGCCTATTGTAAAATCTTCCTGTATATTTTCTCTCTATTGGCAAGATTCTGGTGTCTTTTTTAGGTCCCTCCACTTGATTTCACTCGGGTCAGCCTCTGGATCTTGATTTCAGCCAGGCTCTGTTTCTTGGCCTCCTCTCAAGATGAAACTACCCCAATTCTTTCTTATCTTTTAACAATCTTCTAACATCTTTTTCCCATTCTGCCCTTTTCTTAGTATGTCTCATTTCACTGAGATCTTAAATACAATTATAGCTACACCTCAACACCATGGGTTACGTTTCCTTTGCCACCACCAGTTTAGGATGATTCTTAAGGTATTTCTCCTCTGCCTTAATTGTTAACCAACCTGTGTCCACTACAAAAAGCAGCTTTGTATTGCAAATGATGTGAATTTCCTGTAAAGTGAAGTGAATCAGTACTGCCATGCCTATTTCTGAATAGTATTTTTGCTGGATTCTCTCTGATCCTCCATCACTGATGCAGAAAGGCCTAGAGACAGTGTACATTCAGAAGACATTATGATGCTGCTTGAGGCCAGGGACAATATATCAGGTTCATGTGGCTTGTGCACTTTCAAGATGATAGTGAGGACATTTGGCAACTTTAATCACCAGAGACACAAGGTTTAAAAAAAGACCTTTCACCAATACCATTTAACAATTGATCCATCTCCAAAAGTCAAATTAATCTATTGTTCATAGCCACATAGATGTGATGATACAAACCAGATTTTCAAAAGCAGCCACATAGATTGCTTATATTGAAATCTACTTTTGTCTGACAAAATGTGCAATTCCTTTGCACAGTAACTAATAGGAACTACAAACCTTCCTGAGCTAGAAACATGGTTCTTCTGATATCATTTGGATATCAGAAGCTTGTATTCTTGTAGCCTTATTTTAATAAAAATTGGCCTGTCATCACTAGAGAGCCTCATCAGTCAGCATAGTCCCCGGACCAACTCCCAACATGTGATCTGGATCTTTTCCCTTGGCAGGATGGTGGGGAGCAGAAGGGGAGCACTGAAGTCCCTTCTAGCACTTACCAAGTTCAAAGTGATTCGCATTGGTTAGGAACTCTGGCAAGTAGAAGAACTCAGGGATGAGTTCCCTGACATCACTCATGTTGTCCCTTGATGCTGATTCCCACGTGCTCTTGACACTGTGAAACATCCTGTCTGCAACATCAAAACTCCCACCCTGTGAAATGGAGGCAGACAAAAAGACTGCAGTGTGAATACTGTGTTAAATAAAAAGCAGAGGCAGAATCTTAGCCAATTCTGCAAGAATCACCTCATCACATGCTTGATTAGGGGATATCTCAAGATCTGTCCCAGCTCTGTGATTTTATATTAGGGGCTGTCTTAGTCCTGGTTTGTAGGTATGTAGGTCGAGAATACCGTCAAGCTTGGAGTCTTAGCATAGCTTGCAGTAACACAGAGGCAAGCAGAAATGATCATGGGCAGCTTGAGAATATCAGCATACCCATTATTAATGCTTCTGAAGGCAATTCATTCCTTTCATCCCAAAGTGATTTGCAAGCAGTGGACACAACTTCAGTATTTTCACTTTAGTTGAGACCCAAATAGTTGTGAACAATCTTATGTGCAATCCCCTGGAGAAAAGCCTTTGGGGAAAGGGGGTACCACTGAAATACCATTCATCAGGTCCAGGCAAACAGGAAAGGCCCAGTGGGCAGGAGCTTGCAGGGACTGTTCATTCCTTATGGGAAGGAGGGACAGCATAAAAAGGGGAAGAAGGGAAGAATGTCTGGGTCCCAAGCTGAATTAGTATGTAAGGAAGTGTGTCTTCCACACTGGAGTGTGTGGAAGACAACTTCCTGACACAGCTGGTAAGTGAGCCTACCAGGGGAGGTGCCTCGCTCGACCTGCTGTTTACAAACAGAGAAGGACTGGTGGGAGATGTGGTGGTCGGAGGCTGTCTTGGGCTTAGCGACCATGAAATGGTAGAATTCTCAATTCTTGGTGAAGTAAGGAGGGGGGGCAGCAAAACTGCAGCCATGGACTTCCGGAGGGCAGACTTTGGCCTGTTCAGGACGCTGGTTGAGAGAGTCCCTTGGAAGACAGTCCTGAAGGGCAAAGGGGTCCAGGAAGGCTGGACGATCTTCAAGAAGGAAGT